AGGACATATGGTTCCAGCCCCGGCACCTGGCACATATTTCATCCCGCATCACGCCGTGCTCAAGGCCGACGGTGACATGTCCAAAATACGCGTCGTGTTCGACGCTTCGTCTGCGTCGTCATCCGGTCGCTCCTTGAACGATGTATTGTGCACCGGACCGAAGTTACAAGTTGATTTACGCGATATCTTACTTCGTTGCCGCATGCACAGGTACATTTTGTCCGCTGACATTGTCAAAATGTATCGACAAATTTTAATTCGTCCACAAGATCGGACATATCAACATATATTTTGGCGTAACTCGCCTAGCGACGAACTCGTCGAGTTTCAATTATGCACCGTCACGTACGGTCTCAATTGCGCGCCCTATCTAGCCATACGCTGTCTGCACGAGCTCGACAGCCAGGACGGTCATTGTTTTCCGCTAGCAAAACATGTCCTCACTCGAGCYACTTATGTCGACGACATCGTTATTGGCGCCGACACAGAAGAACTCCTGTTACGTCGAAAAGGGGACATCGTCGGATTACTGCACAGCGGCGCTTGTGCACTCAGCAAGTGGACTAGCAACAGTGCAACCGTCCTCGAATCTGTTCCCACCGAGGACCGTGTACAGTCCATGTCATTCGATCCGCGTGAGGAACACGGCGTCAAGGTRCTCGGCTTGCATTGGGACACAGACACAGACCAATTCGTATATCATACCAGTATACAACAAATCTCGTCCACGAAACGGCAGGTGTTGTCCATCATCGCGCGTTTGTTCGATCCCATCGGTGCTCTGGGCCCGATGTTGTTGTGGSCAAAGTGCTTCATGCAGTCCTTGTGGTGCAATAAACTCGGATGGGACGATGTTATGTCTGACGAGCTGCGAACTATGTGGCAACAGTTCTGCACGGAGTTGCCTCTTCTGTTCGATTTAAGTCTACCGCGTCACATCGACGCCACCAGTTATCAGGACATCCAGCTGATTGGCTTCGCGGATGCATCCGTCAAAGGATACGCGGCTACCATTTATCTCCGTTTTGTCCACGCGCCCGACGACATAGCCGTTAAGTTCGTCACTTGTAAGACCAAAGTTGCCCCGTTAAAAGGTTCCACCGTCAACGAGGAGCT